GACGGGCGGACTGGCTCGGAGCCGGAAGTCGGCTCGCGGGCACTGGNNGTGTCACGAGCATCCGCGAGCAGGTCACCTGTTATTGCCGGCCTCAACCATCAGACTAAGGAAACCACCCTTAGAGAAACTCCTTCGCACCCCCGCGACCACGGAAGAACTGGTACGTCCCCTACGGCGCCTGTCAATTGATGCTCGCTGGTCTGAAGCCAGCCTGCAGCCCTTGCTGCCCCACACGCGCCGGTTGCATGTCTCTGACAACACAGACGTGTGGCAGGACGCTCAGGGCGAACCGCGCAGGCCGAACCCGCTCCGGCTCGATCTTTACGCCATCGCACGCTTGCCAACGAGCATTCCCTGAGCACGTGCACATCGAGCTCTTGAGCTCGATGTGCGCAAGACCCGCATCTGGAATGCAGCAAGTAAGGAACCTGCAGACATCTCGGACCTGCGCGTCCAAAGCGACGAGCCTCTCTGGACCGGAGATTAGGCTTTCCCCCGCCATCAAGGTCTCCTCGTCATTGGCACGCCATTCGGTACGGACGAGTACGTTGCCACCATCCTGGCTGCGAAAAGGGACACAGCAACGTCCCCCCACCGTCGGCTCGGCTCGGCCGTGACGAAGCGCGCACGGGCCTGAGCCGCGGACGCCAGAAAGCCTCAGGCCATACTGAAACCACGCGTGCTCCTGTGCAAAGGTGCACGCGACCAAGCGTCGCAGCACGTCCCCGACGACGAGCATGGGGTTTGCGGCAGGTGACTTTGCGGCTAGGCGACGGGACAACCGGCACTGGCAGAGCTGCACATCGCGCAAACCGCTCGGCAGCACCGTGCCATACTGCGCAGTCAGCTTCGTCGTCGAACATCATGCGCATATGCTTCTTAGTGACGCCTGACGGCCCAGCGGCTGTGCCTCGCCTGTTCCGCGGAAATGTGAGGAGCGGCTGCAAGGGCAGCACGCACACGCTCTCGGCCTAATCTCGATCGGAAATCGCAGCGGCTTTCGCAGCTCGAGCTTCAGCATCCGTCCGGGCGGCGCATCCAGTGACAGGCCCGGCGGAAAAGCACGCAAGCATGCGGGCGGCGAGATTGAAGATCTTCCAGCCACGCAGTGCTGAATTGGCGGAGCTTGCGTCCGCGACGAGCTGCGCGGAAGGCAGTGCGCAAGGTGCTGCACACTTGTACCGGAACGCTCTGCACGGTGAGGATGCGCTGGCAAAGTGTGGCTGCGAGATCAATGACGTCAAGCGATTGAAAGCCTGCAAACAAGGCAAAAGCTGACGAGTACAGACGGCTGAATATCCTAGGAGAATACATGTGCAGGTGGGGGACGCTGTACGAGTACAGACGGCTGAATATCCCAGGAGAATACATGTGTAGGTGGGGGACGCTGTGCGAGCTGCAAAAAAAACCGCACACATCTAGTGAACTCATCACGAGGAACCTTCGTCCAAGGCGGTGGCAAGTGCTTCAAAGCGCCTCACCTTGTCAGCACACAGCTGCGGGCGCAGCAGCGTCGTCAGAGATCGGTTGCGGTGGCAGACTTGGCGCATCGACCGGCCGGGCTCGCAGGCCCTCTCTGTGGCGACGGCCGCTGGGCAGACTAGAAGAGTAAGCCACGCTTCCTGCAGCGGTGCCGCAATGTAATGGCCTTCGGGTGCTACGACACTCGCGCAGACTAGCTGAATAAGAAACGTGACGTTTGCAGCCTGTGAGCCGGAACCGTAGAAGCGAGGGATTTCAAAGCACGTGCCCGCAAAGCATCGACAGCAGCGCCAGTCACGCGGCGCCTCGGCTGAAAGCATGCCTGCGCAGCTGGCAAGGCAGGCGGTGCTTGGTCTGGGAGATTGGCCGCATGAATGAGGCGCACGAGGCGAATCCTCAACACACACTTCTGCGAGCGAATGCTGCTTGCCACACCTGCCACCCAATTCCCACGCGCTCTTTCGATCCCAAGCAGGCCCGCAAGCGGGTGCTTCCAAACCGGCTCGGCAACCACACTCCCGCCGCCCGTTACGCAGATCGTCTTGAGGCCTCGCCTGCGACAACCTCTGCTGGAACACACCAACCACCGCCGCGTGTCGGAGCGCAGGACCGCCGCAGGCTCGGCCTCGTTGCGGGGCAGGCCGTGCCTTCGGCCGGGGCAGCTCGCAGCAAAAGGGACACTTTCCGGCATGCGGAAAAAGGCAAATAAAATAAAAATGCGTAAACCCGACGTAGGGGTGCGGGGCATCGCCACGGGCCACTCTTTTCGCCGCCTAGGCGAAATCCTCTACTTGGCCAGCTGGGGGCAGATGCGTGTGCGCACTTTCCTCGTGCCGCAAGATGGCCGTAGCGCATACGATTCCATGCCTCGCGGCTTTCCTCAGCAAACTACACGAGGTCGCGCCAGAGCTGCTCCCGCTCGTGCTCTACGGCCGACGGGCCGACCCTCCATCTACCGCTGGCGGGACGCGGGACGCTTGCGGGGGAATGCCGCAAGGAAATGCGAAGGCTGCGAGCAAAGCGATGCCCTGGCCCCAGTTGGTTCCTCCTCTCCATGTGCGTGTCGCACCTACGACGCGCCTGACTCACGCCCGAGAGAGCACAACGCTGCCTGCAATGCTCGGCGAACTCGGCCTTCAATCCGCGGAACGCACCGCCCCGGCAGCCTACTGGGCGGTGTGGGCAGGCCACCTGCGATGAGAGCACGCGTGCCCGACTTCGTGAGCCCTGCGTACCAGCCTTCACTCTCAAGGACTCGAGGAGGCTGGGCCCGTGGCGGGCATGCGCACGCAACCGTCGGCGAAAGCTGGCGAGGGCTCGTGGAATTCGTGGAGCACCGGCAATGCAGCAGCCCACGCACCCAAGAAGTTAAGCCCACGGGTAGGGTTGCCACGTGTTTCGCGTGTGTGACATCCGCTGCCGAGGCACGGGGGAGGTTGAGGAGAGAGGCCGCGCAAAGCCGCGGACCAGAGCGCCACCCTGGCGGTGATTGCCGAGTGCCAGCAACCCTGGCGTTGATTGCCGAGGGCCACAATAGGTGCTGGACGGCCGGGGCACGGTGGCGTGCCAGAAGGCGCAGGAGCTGCACGGTTTCGTTGCCAAACCTGCCGCCGACCGCAATCCCGACGACTCTACCAGGCGGCGAGCTCCGTGCATGTCTTGTGCTGCTTGCGGCGCGCCGCACTGGTTACGGCGCAGCCCAGCTGAACGTCGGCCTGTGACTGTGCTTGAAGCCAACGTGGCATGCACTGCGAGTTGGGACCAGCGGCAGGCCGTTGCAGCGACAACGCTCAAGGCGGAAGATTATGAGTTGTTCAGCACGTGGTCGAGACCAGCTGCCCAAATGCAATAACGGCAGAAACTCCACACACACACACACACACCCTTTCATTTAGAACTCATGATTCAAGAAGGGCTGCACCGCCCGCCCTATTACCAGTACGAGTTGAACAATTAAGCACAGCGACATTGTGAGATGAGTGAAAAAAGATCGGCACGTGCAGCATGTCATAGCCAATTTCGATTTGAAAATGCGTGCACGGCCACGTCATAGCGCCAGTGAAAAATCCTCCTTGTGCCGGAATGAAACAAAGGCCTCGCGGCCTCGCCTCCACGAGTTCCGGCGGCGGGCTCGCGGCTCGCGGAGGCTCGCAGCGCGACAACGCCAAACAGACAACACGAAGTCGTCGCGCCGACGTCGCAGGTGCCTCCACCGCCTCATGTCGCGTGTGCCCACTGTCCGACCTGCTTGGACTGTCCAATAGCTCTTCGGAAATTCTCGGACTCTGATTAACAAACGCTCAGCAACGGTCCACAACATGCCCAATGCGCGGAATCCGGCAAACGGACAACACGACATGAAACGGTGAGGTTTTTCAAGCATGCGCTCGTGGAGTGCTCGAGCGAGCGCGGCACCACCGTGGCACAAGGATCACGGTCCTATAAGGGCATCCAGCATCTGGCAGAGACTGTGACATCGCATGCTAGGCGGTGCTCTAGCTGAGATCATGTAGCGAGACTCGACATGAGCGCTGAACAGGCTTCGTAGCTTTGCTCGGGCTCGGGCTCTTGTCAAGTGGGCGAGGAGCAGGTATTGCATGTTCAATCTTGATTTCCTGTTTCCGTGCTTGTGTTTCAACAGCTCCGAGGTGGGAAGGTTTCATGAGTCTTTGCTTCGCCCCACCAGGTTTGCTCACGGGCATGCGAAAGCCCTCGGTGGCAAGCCCTTTTCGCTCGTACAGCTGCGGTCGTGCCTGCACCTTCGGGAAAGTCCTGGACAGCCTGAAACAACTTTCAGCCCCAAAGCATCCCAAAAGAAGCAACACAGATGAGCCGTCCATCATGCATCTTTTGCCCGTGAGTGAGTTCGCTTCATCACAAACTTGCATCTAACAACAAGCTCGCTCCTGGAGCTTTTTCGGGCTCTTTGCTCAGATGGCCGTACAGCAACGAGCTTGATACTGCAACCCCTCTTCTAAAGCTAGAGAGGCCGCAGACTATAGATACCCTCCGCGTCGGAAGGCGACTGCTCAGGTCCTTCTCGAGCATCCCGGTCAGGTGACGTCTCGTCCAGGCACGCCTTGCAGAGCCTTGCAGCCTCTGCGCCCTCAAGGCGAATGCTCCAGGCACACTGCATGACATGCTCGTGCATCTTATGCCTTTCTGCCAGTTTCCGCACAAAGTGCTGGTATCCACCGCACCTTCCAGGGACCAAACTGCGATCACTGGCTGTCAGATCCCATGAGCATGTCCAGGACCGACTTCTTCGGCTTCGCGGGCGCTTCGGCTTTCGAAGCCTCCGCCCGTGCCTCCGCCCGTGGCTCCGCCCGTGGCTCCGCCCGTGGCTCCGCCCGTGGCTCCGCCCGTGCCTCCGCCCGTGGCTCCGCCCGTGGCTCCGCCCGTGGCTCCGCGTGTCTGGGAGCCTCTTCGCTTCTGGGCGCGGAAAAAGCTGCGGCTGTGGCCGAGGCGGCCGAGGCCGAGGCGGCCGCGGCAGCTGTCGATGCGGCCGAAATTGCGACCGGCCCGGCTGGCCCGGGTGCAGCGAGGCTGCCGAAGAGCTTGGCCATGCGCTCCTTCGGATGCGAAAAAAAAACCATGTGCTTCGAAGCTCTACGACGCGACGAGATCCGCACGCAAGGCGACATCCAATGACGCAAGACAGTCCTTGCCAAGCTAAGTCTGCGGATTGATTTCAAGAGTCGGGATGCTGCATGTGCGTCCATACGTCATTAAGTCTGCTGAAGACCAGCCTCCTGAAAGCACTATCCGACAACTCAGAAATACTCAGATCAGGATACAACTGCTTGTACAAATCCAACTCGTCAATCCCAAAAGTGAAGTCAGGATCTTGCTGAAAATCAAAACTTTGTCTTTCGAGTCTGGAAATCCCATGCTCTCCTGCTCTCCAGCGCTGCCACGGAAAGCCAAGAGGCGGACGTCCAGCCTTCGGCTCGGGAATGCGACTTTGAATGTTTCATTCTGTCTCGATGACCGAAAGGTGATCATTCTTGGATTAGGCAAAGATTATCCAACATCAACCAAGACGCACGCAAATCACACTCCCTACCGGCTTTGCGAAAAATGTTTAATCCATTCAATGCACAGAGCAGTGGTGCATGTCATCCTGTTGGCGAGTAGGTCGAGTTAACCAGATTCCGTATCCCAGATCGCCAGAGCCATGCCGCGCTCCCTGATTGCTTTGATTGTATGGCGAGCTTGAATCGCTCAATGTTTACGGCAAACGGTAGGGAGAAAAAGCTTTCTAAACACGACAATGCGACACAGCTGCAGCCCTACACCCGGTGCACAGGCCTGGAGTAGACATCCACGCCTTGGTCAGCAAGGACCTTCAAGCTGTTGGACGCAAGCGGTGCGGGTTTGGAACTAGATGTATGTATCCTTGCACTTCTTCACAAAACGTCCAGAGTGAGCAAGTGGAGTGCTACAATGCACGGGTCGTGCAGGCATAGCTCGTCTAGAACACACACAATAAAACAAGGCTTCCTACCCCGCATGCTGATCGCAGAGATGCAGCGAGCGAATGTGAGGGAAGCAGTTGCATCATGCGGAGGTGGATTCGTGATCGAAGTAAGAAATACTGCACTCCGTCTCGTTGCCATGGAAAATTCCGGCCCCGGCCTCCAGGGCAGTGACCAAGGCTCCAGCAATCACCTGAGTCGTTGGGAGGCTTCCGGGCACTTTCCAAGAGTTCCCAGTTAGGCGCTGGTGATCCCCATCAAATGCTCAGCCCCGCTTCCATGAAGAGGCACCTCGCTGCGATTGTTGAACACGCCGCCTGGCCGAACCAGACGAGGTTTGTCCGCCGACAGAGTTGAGGAATCCCGAACCACTGTACGAGTACGAACATTGTTCGAATTATTCGCCAATGTTGCCCACAACAACGGCACACCCGCTGCAAAGCCCATCAGTATCCATCAGTCCTTCAGCAAGAACCTGCCGTCTTCTGAACTCTGCCTTTGGAAGAAGCTTGTTGCGGATGCCTCCCAAAGGCATCAGCACCACGCGCTGTTTAGCTGGTGGCTTGGCTGCTGCCGCAGCCATGCGGAGAGCACCGAAGTACCTTTGAGAGCATTGCATCCGTGCTGCGAGGGAGCCGAGACTTCGAAGCCTTGCAATGGCCTTTACGACTTTACACGTTATCATACAAAGCCGATTATTCTCAACGAAGCGAGGAGCGGCATCACACAAGAGGTGCACTAAGCTACAGTTGTTGAGAATCGCATGCATTACCCTGCGATACTTCAGGATCCATCCGTGAAAGACCTTCAGAAGTTCCGCAAGCTTCTCGCGTAAGTCGAGATTGTTCTAAGGGCTCAGGACTTTCTGGACACTGTTCACAGACAATCCGCTTCTACAAGGCATGAAAGGGTTAAGAAGTGCAATGGTTTTGGCACTCACAATGAATAACGCTACGACGCCGACTAAAGCTTCGACTACGTACAGGTACGACTGCGACTGTGGCACCACCACCACCATCCCCTGCTGCTGCTGCTGCTGCTGCTGGTGCTGCTGCTGCTGCTGCTGCTGCTGCTGCTACCACCACCACCCCCACCGCCAAAGCTACCACCACGACGACTACCACTACCGCCACCACTGCCACTGCCACCACTACAGCCACAACCGCTGCCACTGCCAATACCACTACCACTATGACTACCACGACTACTACGACTACGACATGTACCTGCGACTAATCAGGGGACTCTTTGTCTTTGTGTTCGCCGGAAAGCAGAATTCCATGAGGCCTTTGGAACGTCAAGGGGCCCTGAAACCTTGCGGGAGAGGGGCTGGCTGATGATGATGAAGCGACTTATCTCCTCCTGCGCGCAAGCAGCTTCCCAAACTTAGAAAGCCCCACGAAACAGCGGCACAATTCCCAAACACCCAAGAAAACGGTGCACGAACCAAGATAATGGAATATGCCGTTGCTGGACGCCGTAGCTACGTTGAGAGGAGGGAGCGCAACTCCGAGCATGAAAGTGCTCAATGGAGTAACCATCTTGCTGACCAACGGCAATGCACCGCCACAGCCTCTGAGACAACTTGCCAACAAAGATCTGACAAACAGCTTTCTATCCTTGCATGCAGCCTGACGTGCACGAAGCAGGTCACAGGTGTCTGGATAGGACGCAGGTGCGACTGTCGTGTTTGGGCAGTCGAGAATTCGGAATGACACTCCTTTTCGAGCCCAGTATGCAACAAAAGCTGGTGGGCGAGCGGAGCGCCCGAAACAGCGGTGCCCCAGCTCGAGGCGATGACACGCAGGATTCGGGGAGCTCGGTCCGAGAGACGGCGGAAAGGCGACACTCGCAATGCCGAAAGGGCAGGACTCGTCCCGTCCAGTGGGCGGCGTCACATCCATGCTGCATGGCTCAACAAAAAAACCTTCGAGATTCCAAGCGTAGCGGCTTTGTCCTGAAAGCCCACGTCCAGATTCCCGGCGTTCAAGTATGCCTGTCTCAAGACAGCTCGAGCATGCCGTGAGCAACGTGATGTGGGTAGCAATTTCTACAAAAGCTTTACGCAGAAATCGTGCAGTTGTGCGGTTGGGATATCGCCTTGGTACCTCGGATGGCATCTCGCAACTCGCGGTGGGAGGCTTCGACTTCCGAGGTGTTTTGGCCACACAGTGAACTGACTTAACAAGTCCAAGTTGGGACGCTCATGCCATTGATGGTCAACACGTCGCGCCTTGACTGGAATGGCAGAGGCATAGACCATGTGAACCTGAATTCCACAGCACTGCTGATACTGCAGTGCGTCCAGACTCTGTGCAATGCATGTGGCTGTTTCAAACATTGTCAATCGCAACAAATCAATCCAGAGAGCCTTGTGTGAAGCCGTGGAGAAATCTTGGAAATCCGGCCTGCAAGAGCAACGCAAAGTTCGAGCTTCGGAGCGTCGGAGGGCAAGCTACAGAACCCTGTAAGGCCCCATGAAACCAGAGCCAAAGAGCAAGACCCCCCATCAGGCTCGAAACGGTTCCTTGAGGCCGGCCTCAGACCTACAGCCGGCACTCCCCAAGCGGAGAGGCAGCGCACTCCTTGGCACGGGGTGTTGCAAAGTTGCTTGAGCTTCAGGGTCTTAGGGCTTAAGGTTCAATGAAGTGGGCTTCCGGTGCCTCCTCATCCGGCACATCAATTGCAACAGAGCAAGACGGCCTCGCGTCACATCTTCGCCAAGAGTCTGTGCAGGGAGGACCGCAGGCTCGTGAGCACCGCTCCCTGAATCCGGCGAGGTCGGAACGTTAAAAAAAAAAAACAAGGACGACACAGTGCTACTTACTCTTCTACTGCTACTCCTACTGCTTCTCTCGCTGCTCCTGCTGCTCCTCAATACGACGACCATGACGACGACTGCTGTATCCAATTGAAACTTCGACATGCCCGTGCTGGCTGATGGTTCAAGGCAGATAGAGCATTTACAACATCCTCGTCGGTGCTTTTGGCACAGTTCACGGCAACGGCATCGCTCCGAGACCCGAAGTCGCAACGAATTCAAGCTTATCCGTGGATACCGGTACCGACCAGGCCGTCCGCAAGCTTTCCACAGTCGAATCAGGCTTTGGAATACGTCACCAGAGCGCACCTGGCTGGAAGCCGGGCAGTGAGGCACGGCCATGTAGCCGTTCTTCACGTGCAAGTTGTACCTTCCCCCACTTGCTCAAAGACTTCACGGCATGACTCGACCGGGCCGTATCAGTCTGAGGCCGGGGCCCCGAGGGCCAGGATGGGGAGGCTTTGGCGGCAGCCAAGGCCTCGCTTCAAAATCCGCAAAGTTTCGCGAGGCTTAAGCCTTTTTGCCGTCGTAAGGATGAACCATGGGCATCCCACTGTGATCTTTGCCCACAGAGAGATGGAGTCTAGTAGCACATCTACATCGTGGTCGGCGTGCCATGCTCATCGTGACTGGATGGTTGTTGTTTCTGTGTCGCATCACCGCAATACGTCCAAAAGGCAAGTTCCGGACACTTCGAGCAGAAGCACAGGCTTTGTTCGTCATGGCCTTTTTTCTGAAGCTTCGAGCTCCAAGGCCCCCTCCAGGGCTAACCAAACCAAGAACCAACAGCACGATAGGCTTGAGATAGACGAGCCTTAAGGAGGGCATATTCGCGTTGCTTGCATGATTGGACAGCCTTGAGGAGTTGGGAAAGTGGTTGTGCGACGTCGTTGTCTTAGCTGGTCGCAGTGTCCTGGGGAGAAACGAGACTTCGGAAGCTGCGCCCGGATGCTCAGGCAACGGCTACATCGGTCGCATCCAGGCCCAGTGGCCTTTGGATATCCGACGGCTGATATGGTTGGCACCCACCAGCAACATCGGCCTTGCCTCCTTACCTTGAGCCCATGTGCCATGGATGCCGTCCATTGCTCACCCATTCTTTCCCCCTGCCGTGCCTCTTGTCGCAGGCCGCGTTGTCTAGAATGAACTGGCCCACCTTGGCAGCCGCTGGCACGAAAAGCGCCCAAAGCATCCAAGGAAGACTCCGAGGGCCCGGGGC